ATTCCGTCATGCGGCGCACTCGGGTCTCGAACTGCTGAACTACCGACCTTCCACAACCTGCAGTTCAGCGTCTTAACCACTTGAGCCACCGCAGCTCCTAAACATAAGCAAGTGTACAAAAGACTGTTTATTACAGAGACATCTAAAAACCTAGTAGGGGCCCAAATAAAGCCTCATAAAATGTTCAAAGTTACAAATACAGATTAAAAAAAGGACAGTGTGTACGACCTGACATGTTTCGGCTCACGAGAGCCTTCTTCAGAGGTCAAATAGTGCAAAATACGCCAAGCCACAGAGTCTCTGTAACACATGTAAGGCAATTAATAAATAGGACCAACATTGGAATGTTCCAATGTGGAACTGAATGACACACCAAAAGGTATCTATTTGGGGCCACAAATATACCTGGCCTTGTCTCAGAAGTAGTTGTATATACTGGAACTAATATGTACCTTCCAGTTTAGGTCCTAAGAGTGCAAGTAAAATTGCCTTGTCAGGGACAATGCCCCATCAATATGTATTTTTGCACTGTTTGACCTCTGAAGAAGGCACTTGTGAGCCGAAACGCGTCAGGTCATATACTGTCTTTTGTGTGTATTTGTAACTTTGAACATTTTATTGGGCCCCTACTAGGTTCAAGTGGTTAAGATGCTGAACTGCAGGCTGTGGAAGGTCAGTAGTTCAGCAGTTCGAGGCCCGGGTGCCGCATGACGGAGTGAGCTCCCGTCTCTAGTTCCAGCTCCTGCCAACCTAGCAGTTCGAAAGCAAGAAATTGCATATAGATAAATAGGTATCACTTCGGTGGGAAGGTAACAGAGTTCCATGGGCCTTGGTGTTTAGTCATTCCGACCACATGACCACGGAAACGTCTTCGGACAGCGCTGGCTCTTCGGCTTTGAAACGGAGATGAGCACCGCAACCCTAGAGTCGGACTCGACTGGCTTTCGAGCAAGGGAACCTTTACCTTTACTTTACTAGGTTTTTATACGTCTTTGTAACAAACACTCTTTTGTACACTTATGTTTTTAACTTTTGGCCCTCAATAAGTTTTCTAAACTTCCTTTGGATGTTTGTGCTTGGTTGGTTTAGATTCTCTCCCCTCTCTTTTTTTTCCCGGCGAACTGATCTCCATACCCTGGAGATCCGTTGTGATTCCGGGAGATCTCTGGGCCAAACCCTCTCACTCTCCCCCCCCCTTCCCCCCTCCCAGTTGATACTTACATGTTAGCTTCTGGTGTATCGGGCAGCGTGATCCGAAGGTAGGTGATTCCCTGGAAAGGCACAGGCAGAGGGTGGGGTGAGCGAGAGCCCAGGGACACGGGGTCAGATTTCCAGCACCATCTCGGCTACGAATCCTGTCCCCTCTTGAAGCTGCCTCCGTTTCGCCAAGTGCTTTGGGCCATCTTGCACAAAGAGGGGAGTTGCTCTGGATTCTCTGCGAGGGAGCATCCGTTCCACACCCTTGCACTATTGTCAAGGGCTCTCGAGCAGCCCCCAGGTTGCTACCTTAAGGCTTGCGCAACAGAAATTCCTAAGGCAAGGGTGGTCAAACTGTGGCTCGGGAGCCACATGCGGCTCTTTCGCACAGATCGTGCGGCTCCCAGCAAGGCAGCTGGGGAAGCGAAGGGGGAGGCATACTTTTCCTCCCTCCCATCTATTTTCTTTGTTTTTCTTTCTCTCTCTTTCACCCTCCCTCCCTCCCCCATCTATTTGCTTCCCTTGTTTCTCTCTCTCTCTCTCTTTCCACCTCGTTCATTCTTTCCACCTCTCCGTCTTTCTCTCTCTCAGACAAATAAATATCGTTAGCAAACAAATAAATATCATTGGACGAACAAGGGCTCTTTTTGTAGACTCCCCACTGCCACCCCTTCCCTAAGCATGGCTTGCTTCCCCGTGTAGGCAAGCAGAGTGTGAACGCCGCAAAAGGGAGTTTTAAATTTTTTAATTTATTGCCCCCCTGACTTATTTAAAGGCCCCCTGAATTACAAAATCCTGGCTACAGGCCTCTCTTCGACGGGAGACCACCAAAGAAGTCCAGGGTTGCTACGCAGAGGAAGGCAAGGGCAGACCACCTCTGCGCATCTCTTGCCTTGACCTGGGTGGCCCAGGTTGGCCCGATCTCGTCAGATCTTGGATAACAGTAGCAACCGACTTACGGCGACCCCAGCCAGGGGCTTTCAAGGCAAGTGAGAAGCAGAGGTGGCCGGCTATTGCCTTTCTCTGCAGTGTCTACCTTGGTTTTGTCCTGTCTAAGTACCGACCCTCAGAGCTATTTTTGGGCAGGAACGCACAGAAATGGAGTTCCGGCTGGCTCCCAAGTTGGCCACGCCCAGCAGGAACTCATTAGCATAAGAGGCCACACCCAACAGCAGAAACTCATTAGGATTGGCTACATTAGGGGTGTGTGGCCTAACATGCAAAGGAGTTCCTGCTACAAAAAAAGGCCCTGGGTTTTGACCACAGACAAGGTAAACAGAATAAGAAGCAAAAGGTGGGTGTGGCTGGATGGCCACACTTCTGGTAACACGGGGGTGTGGCCTAATATGTTAATGTGATGTGCTGCTCGGGTGTGGCCTAATATGCTAATGGGTTCCTGCCATTGGGTGTGGCCTATTATGCTAATGAGTTCCTGCTGGGCTTTTTCTACAAAAAAAGCCCTGCCGACCCTGCTTAGCTTCTGAGATCTGATGCGATCGGGCTGTCCTGTGCCTCCTTCCCTCCACGGGGATAACGAGCATCCTTAAGGGATGTTATTTACCTCCACAGAGGGCAGGCTGCATGGAAGAGCCAGACCTTGTCGGATCTCGGAAGCTAAGCAGGGTCGGTGCTTGGAGAATCGATATGAGACTCTAGATCCTGGATCCCCCCTGTGACCTAACTTCTGGGTCTTTGGCCGCTTCCTCTTGGGGGGGGGACCGGGAGAGGGCAGGACCTGTCCATCCGTACCGGAATATATGGCTGCGGGGATTCGTGGATGGAGAGGATGTGGGTGATGTTGTTCCGGCTCAGCTGGTCGAAATCTTTGGCGTCTGGAAGAAAGAAAAGAGTCGGAAGTGGAAGCCACGGAACACACGTGGCAGCCGTCGGTTGTGTCGGGGCAACCGCATAGGCGCCGATGTGCGTGCACCTCCCTTGTTGAGAGACCAGAACATGCAATCATATAAGGGGAAGGAGGGCGTGAAGTCTGAGCTGAAGGGTTAAACACCAGCCAAGGAATTAAGTCTTTTGTTCGTCAGAAGAGGAGGAGGAGGAGGAGGAGGAGG